ACTTGTCATGGCAAACGCAGCAACCAATGCTAACATTGAGCATTGATCAGGGAGGAGTGGGCATGGCTGCCGCTGCTTTTCTGTTAGAAGATCACACGCTGGGCACACCCGGTGCGACAAGATCCACCGAGTTGTCAGAGACTACAAGCTGGCAATTGCAGATGGATTGTTCTTGAAGGCGCAGCTTCACTCTGGCTATATTTTCTCTATCAACTACAAGCCATTCAACAAAGGCAACTTCTTTGAGCAAAAGAAAGCTATGGTTGAAGCATTTCTTGCAAACAAAGCAACTTGGTCGAAGCTGGGAGCAACTTGTCATGGTGATTTGTTGGTAACTGTAATTTATCTGATTCTTGTGCTTTTTGCTGTTCAAAAAATCAATGATGTGGACTCCACCTAGGTCTCCAGCAAGTGAGATCTTCCAGGGCTTTGCGCCACTCATTGCTGCAGATTTGATGATTTTTGAACGCTGGGACAATGGCGGCCTTGATGCAGATGCATTATGGAATCTTGCCTTTGAGTCTGCAACTTCCTTCAGGAAGAAAGGATCAATGGTGAAAACGTCCCGATGGTTCAGTTGGAACCAGTGTGGAATGGTGAAAACGTGTGTTCACAAATGAGGCTCTGAGCCCTTTCGGGAATCCACCCCAACACCTTCTCAGCCATGAGATCCTCAGGCAAGGTGAATTAGGGGATGGCCCACAACTTTGACTACCAAAAAACAGTGCCCTCAGAATGTGGACGAATCTGAAACCTGGGGATGCAACAGGGTTCATCACCAAAAGGCATTACATAAAAAACCGCTGAGCTTCAACCCCTGCTTTTCCCCAAGGCAACCTGCCATGACCTGAATTGAGTATAGGTGTGAGATAAGCCGGAAAAGAAACAACAACCCTAGCTGCCTAGCTTCACTGACTGGAATTGACACTCAGTAAGGGGTATACAAATCAATAAATTCTACCCAATCCATAGCTAGGCACGTGCAGTCCTATTTTTGGCATATTTTTGCATATTTTGCATATTTTTGCAATGTTTTGCACTAATTTGTGATGCTTTTGGAATTAAACCTGGACAAAATCATCCAAGTGTGGGCAAAAACTTTTGGTGAGGAGGGTTGAGGACAGAAAATCTAATGACTAAAACTGTGGCCAAAACTTTTTGGGGTGAATGCAAGTAAGGAAACAAAATCTATTGAATAAAACTGTGGGCAAAAATTTTTGGTGAGGAGAGCTCAGGAAGCAAAATCTAATGACTAAAACTGTGAACAAAAGTTTTGGTGAGGAGAGTTGAGGACACAAAATCTAATGACTAAAACTGTGGCCAAAACTTTTTGGGGTGAATGAAAGTAAGGAAGCCAAATCTCATGAATAAAGCTGTGGGCAAAGATTTTTGGTGAGGAGAGTTCAGGAAACAATATCTAATTACTAATAGTCATTAGATTTGCTTCCTGAATTTCCCTCGCCCCAAAAGGATTGTCCACAGTTTTAGTCATTAGATTTTGTTTCCTTTCTCTCACCCAAAAATTTTGTCCACAGCTTTAGTCATTAGATATTGTTTCCTGAACTCTCCTCACCAAAAATCTTTGCCCACAGCTTTATTCATGAGATTTGGCTTCCTTACTTTCATTCACCCCAAAAGTTTTGGCCACAGTTTTAGTCATTAGATTTTGTGTCCTCAACTCTCCTCACCAAAACTTTTGTCCACAGTTTTAGTCATTAGATTTTGCTTCCTCAACTCTCTTCATCAAAAAAACTTTTGCCAACAGTTTTAGTCTTTAGATTTTGTTTCCGCACTTTCCTTCCCCCCCAAACAAACATTTTTCCTTTCATGTTCCTCTCTCTCTTCCTTTTATTGTTCCTTTTCCTCTTCCTTTTTTGTCTTTTTTTCATCTTCCTCTTCCTTTTTCCTTTTCCTTTTCCTTGTTTTTTTCCTTTTCCTTTTCCTCTTCATTTTCCTTTTCCTGAATTATGACAGACCCTGATGACACAGAGAAGAGAAACAAATATGTGGGATTGAAATTTGCCAAGAATAGCACATTCTTCACTTCTCCATGCAAAGAATAATGCATGTTTTCACTTCCCCAAGGCGTTCTGATTCATGTGTGCCACAACATCTCCCAAAGAATGTGTGCCAACATGTGGCAACACAGATACATCTGGGCCACAGTTTTCATGTTCTGACCAAAGTATTCAAATACATTTACAAATACATTTAGCATATGTTCTACAAATACTTTCACAAATCCACCTCAAGGTGTCAATGTGAAAAACAAGTGTCTTGACAGCCCATGTGGTAAACCATTCTGATGTTATTTTCTAGAACAACAGCAGAAACTGTGAGGTTATTCTTAAGAATAACCGCAGAGGTTATTCTTAAGAATAACCTCAGTGAGGTTAGAATTAACCTCAGGAAACAAAATAACCTCAGAGGTTGTTTTTAACCTCAGCTGATCTATAGGGCTCAGAGGTCTTGAAATAGTCATCGAACATGAGGAGGATCATCCTCCCACGAACCTGGATGCCTAGCTTCGCCTTCTCTTCTTTATAATTTGATGATCCGGTTAGCCAAGTCACCCTTTGCACTTCGTGTCAATGCAGCTGCTAGCTTGGTGTCCAACGTTGTAAACTTACCTGGGTTGGAAAGTCGTTCTTCCAAAACACTGCTTTCGTCAACTGTGTTATACACCTCCATCAACCAGTCCCATGCTGCGTCAGGTTTGTCTGAACATGATTTGATCTCGTCTCTCACATGATGTTTCCATCGCCGTTAGGTCTCGGCAGTAGGCATATCATTTAGTTTGATGTGGTCTGCTTCCTTGACTTTGGGCTTTTCATCGCTGTCGCGCTTTGTGAGTGACTTGACTATCAATCACCTGCTCCGCACCTGACTGCGCTGGCTGCGGGGCCTCACGCACTGATGGTGCTGGACTGTGAAACGTCATTGGTTGGTGTTTTGCCACCACCTGGAACAGTACCTCCATGAACAGGAAGCACTGGCTTTGACTCTGCCGCAGCTCCAGATGGGGCAGCGCCAGTGACGGCGGCCTCTGGCACACTGGGTCCAAACAACCCATTCAACCTTGCGCTAGCTTCTGCTGCAATGGTCTCTAAAGTACCTTTCTTTGAAGACTAGCTATGGCTAGGTGTCATTGCTGGCGAGACGGCAATGCTCGTTGGAGGACAATACCCTGGTTCTGTAAGCCCTTTGTTTTCTGCCCTAAGATCGTCAATGATCTGTTGCAAGCTATAGTTTTCATTCTCTGCATCCTTCAACTCACGCTGAACTTGTGTCACACGCTCATCAAAGTCTGAACGAAGTCTAGCAACTCCTTGCTCTGCATTCGCAGTGACTGCATTCACTGTTTCTTGGCATTCATGTGTGAGCTGCTTACGCAAGGCATCCATCTCAGCTTTCTTTGCTTCCACTTCAAGCGCCTTTTCGTTCTCTAGTTTGAACACGCGTGCTTTGGTGGCACCAAGCTCTACCTGCATTTTGTCAGAGCTTGACTGGGCTTGCTGCTTCGAACTAAGCTCTTCGTGGTGTCTGCCTTCAACCTCTAGAATTGCTTCTCGGAACTTTGCTTTTGCAGTTTCCAACCCCTGGGCCATTACTTCCTTGCGCCTCCGTTCAGCCTCAGCAATGATTGCTTCTTCATTACCATTGTAGACCTGTTGGATATTTTGTTGCGCAAACTGGAAGTACGCGGTCACAGGGGCCGAACCCATAGGATCGTCTAGATCTATTGTGGCGCGGTTTCGGGACCGGCGGGCACAGTAGCCGCTGAGGTGGCATTACCAGGAATAGCAAGGGCGTCCATGGCTGCGGTTAGAGCACTACGGCTGATAACCTATAAAAACAGCCGTTAAGCTACCGCTCCTGTTTTGGGCCGCGAGCTACAAGGTAAGCGTACATGATATCCCATATACAATTCATGACAAAAGTGTACATACTACGTGGAGTGAAAACACAAGAGGTGAAAAGACCCCAGCAGAATTCCTGGCGTATCACTGGCCAATCAAGCTGGCATAAATGGTCGCGCGGGCGGTCGCAGGGCCAAGTAGCGACCACGGCTTCGCCTCCACATTGGGTATGCATTGTACTGCTGGCAAGTCACAGGCAGCCAAGCGCCGCTGTAAAGGGCATGATCAGAGTAGGCCAAAGCAGCTAACAAAAACATGTAAACCGACTCCTAGATTGGGATCTGTCACTTTGCGTTTCAATTCCCAATGTGTCCCTACCCCACCAACCGTTCACATTGGCTCAAGTAGTCGGCGCAGGATTTCAAACGAGATGAATGCCACAAACTCTTGGATGTCCACTGCGCGGCGATTACCGTAGCGTCATCTGCGCGTGTGTAGCATCATCGCCTGACCACATCGCGAGCAGGCTCCGATACCACTGATTGACACGGAAGTGCAAGCAGTGGAGTTCCGAACAGAACTGTGTCGAGAGCCCGTGAGGATGATCGGTTCTCGTTTCGGTTCAAGTCGGAGCGGAAATGGGCCCCTCGGCCCCTCGTGTTTTCTTGGCTTTTGTTGTATCCTCAATCTATCCTTGGCGACAGGTTTCTCTCTAACCACCTTCGCGCTTTTGCTGAAGACGTGGTGTCGTGAGATGTCTGCGTGGGCGAGTTACGCCTGTTGCGTTGGCGTTATGTTGATGACGTGTCTGAATTGTTTTTCTTTCACGGGTTGCATGTGACAAACGGTCGCTTTCCTTACACATTGTATTTCACTTGTGAGAAGTTCAGTGCCTTGTTTGGTTGTTTGCTCGTTCAAGCTTGACGCATATCTCCAGTGTTGAAGTCGCTTCTAGTCTTGGTGTGCTCAAGTCATGGATTACTAGCTTAGCAAAAACAGTTCACTGTGCATTCATATTGGACTCTTTTGGGCGCGTTTCTATGAGAAACACAACATGGACACCGGTTTTCTATGTGCCTTGGCAGAAACCATGACAGCTCAGAAACTAATTCGACTATCAACACATCGGTACGCAACTTTTTGATTGCAGCATCGTTTGATTGAAACAGCCTATATAAGGCCTAAGCCTTCCTTGTCACAACTGCGACAAAATCTGATTGCTTCAGAACGGTCAATGCAAGCCAATCAATGATGCAGCTCATCTGCACGAGAGAAGCGTGCTCGGGGTTGCTCAAATTAAAGTTCCACCCAATGATATTAAAAAGCGGGTGGAGAATGGTCCCTCCAAGCGGCACACGCTCCACAATTGGCAACTTGCTGCTGAACCATTTCTCCAGAACAGGAAGTATCTCACTCGACCGAACTGCTTCAGAAGGATCTTCCCGTATCATTCCCGTGTGGGTATGCATGTGCATCTTGTCTGCATAGACGCCAGGAGCTAAAGCGTGATTTCGCAAGTATCGTGGCAATGCCTGCAAAATCTTATTCTGAATTTGCAGTTGCGCAGGTGTCCACTGATACCGCGTTGGGCCAACAAAGTCTTCAAATGCAAAAATGCCTCCTGGCCGCAATGACTGATACACCTGCTCGTAAAAGAATTCTAAATTTTGAATATGATGCAGTGAATGATGGCAGTAAATCAAATCGAAGGTGCCATTGATGGGATCCGAGTTGGCATCAAAAACTGCAAATCTCAGCATGGTCGACCAGTTCTGCAGATTGGAATTGGCGCGAGCCACTGAACCGTGACTTGTATCAAATCCAGTCAAGTCGTCTGTGAAACCTGCGACAACCAAGGATTTCTCCCAGGCCCCATCCCCACAACCAATGCTGAGTGTCTTGATGTGCTTAACATTCGGCCTTGATGCTCGAAATTCACTCAGCGGCATGTTATAAAAGTATGTGGTGAAAACTTCTTGAATGCACATCATTAGCGAATCACTCTTTTCCCAGTTTCCAAAGGTGCTAATGCCTGTTCTTTGGTTGGTAGAAGACGTTCGAGCAAGCTCGGCGACATATTGCAACACAATCGGGTTTTGGATCCATTGGAGGACTATACGCCGCTGGCCACTGAACAGCTCCGCCCAGCGGTCCGGAGGGGAAGTTGTCGTCGATTCAGCTACCACTTCCTCTGCTGTGGCAATTTCAGCAATTGAAAATGCTGATGTAGATGTTTCAAGAGAACTTTCACCCTCTAACAAAAGCCTTTCAGAGCTGGTTTGTTGCGCTGAAATAAGAGTTGCTGCCTTCCTTGTCACAACTGCGACAAAATCTGATTGCTTCAGAACGGTCAATGCAAGCCAATCAATGATGCAGCTCATCTGCACGAGAGAAGCGTGCTCGGGGTTGCTCAAATTAAAGTTCCACCCAATGATATTAAAAAGCGGGTGGAGAATGGTCCCTCCAAGCGGCACACGCTCCACAATTGGCAACTTGCTGCTGAACCATTTCTCCAGAACAGGAAGTATCTCACTCGACCGAACTGCTTCAGAAGGATCTTCCCGTATCATTCCCGTGTGGGTATGCATGTGCATCTTGTCTGCGTAGACGCCAGGAGCTAAAGCGTGATTTCGCAAGTATCGTGGCAATGCCTGCAAAATCTTATTCTGAATTTGCAGTTGCGCAGGTGTCCACTGATACCGCGTTGGGCCAACAAAGTCTTCAAATGCAAAAATGCCTCCTGGCCGCAATGACCGATACACCTGCTCGTAAAAGAATTCTAAATTTTGAATATGATGCAGTGAATGATGGCAGTAAATCAAATCGAAGGTGCCATTGATGGGATCCGAGTTGGCATCAAAAACTGCAAATCTCAGCATGGTCGACCAGTTCTGCAGATTGGAATTGGCGCGAGCCACTGAACCGTGACTTGTATCAAATCCAGTCAAGTCGTCTGTGAAACCTGCGACAACCAAGGATTTCTCCCAGGCCCCATCCCCACAACCAATGCTGAGTGTCTTGATGCGCTTAACACTCGGCCTTGATGCTCGAAATTCACTCAGCGGCATGTCATAAAAGTATGTGGTGAAAACTTCTTGAATGCACATCATTAGCGAATCACTCTTTTCCCAGTTTCCAAAGGTGCTAATGCCTGTTCTTTGGTTGGTAGAAGACGTTCGAGCAAGCTCGGCGACATATTGCAACACAATCGGGTTTTGGCTCCATTGGGGGGGGTCTATGCCGCTGGCCACTGAACAGCTCCGCCCAGCGGTCCGGAGGGGAAGTTGTCGTCGATTCAGCTACCACCTCCTCTGCTGTGGCAATTTCAGCAATTGAAAATGCTGATGTAGATGCAAGGTCTGATCCCTGAAACACCCTCCAAGAAATCAAGGAAGCCAGAACAATGACGGCAAACCCTGCACTCCGCAAACGCGAGACAACCATGCCGGCGCGATATATGTGCTTGCGCTTGTGATCGCTGTCTGTGTCTGAGTGTGTCCTTATATGGTTCCTGTCATTTTAGCACTCATGTCTGCACGACTTCTACAAACCAGAATTTTGGTCATCGTGCGGGCTAACCCTTTCTGAGATTCGAGAGCTTGAACCTTTCACCAAGTTCTACTACATGGATGGTTGAAAAGAAACTGATGTTGAGATACCACACTGAACATTGCCGAAACTGTATCTGCATCCCTCTTCGGAAACAAAAATCAAATGGCGCAGTTTCAGAGCCAACAAGCAGTACAACGCGATACTTTCCAAAACTACTTTACTTCGAGTGGTCCCATGCTGAAAAGCACTTGGGAAGTAGGCAGGGCAGATATACTGATAGGCCATCCTGGCGCGACGCGCGCTGACACATTGTTCTGACATGTGTCATGTGCTCTGGCATCAAGTCTGGTACCTGTTCTGACACATCATCTAGCACGAAGGCTGGGAAGTGTTTTGTAACGTGGCCTGCCGTCCTTGTTGGCATGTTTTCTGACACTTGTCCTGCGGTCAACTTTGACCTGTGCTCTGATCTGTCTTCTGTCATGTACTTCCGACTGTGGTTTCGCATCCTCCCACTTGTTCCGGCGTTTGTTCTGACACAGTTTCTGATCCGGAAAGCAAGGAGAGGAGAGGAAAGGGTACGGATAAGGATAAGGCGAGGAGAGGAGGAGTTGGGCCCGGTCTTTCAACTGTTTCACCTTAACAAAGCCAGAGGCACCTACTCTGAGGATTCCCCGCACCTGGCATTCTAAAGCGAACCACCTGCAACCATAGTCTTAGGGGCGAGGGATCAACAAAGTAAAGCAGCAATGAAAAAATACGACGGGTATCAAAAAGAACAGAAGACAGGAAAGATCGGAGCAACCGCGCCTTTTTCATTCCTTGAGCAAAAATGCGGGTTCTCTGGGATTTGAAAAGGGCGCCTGCAGCAGGCGCCACGTACGGAACGGTGCGATGTTTGTTCAGTCCATAGCACACTGGATTCCTGGCTCGAAAACACATCAGCCTTGCTCTCAAATCAAAAGGCATTCGAACATGCGGTGATCTCACCACAGACTCCCCCATTTCATCCATTCCTGGGAACGTTTAGTGGCAATAAAAATTGTCACCTGCCACTGTTGCATGTTTTTTTTTGAAAGACGCCGCGGGGGAAAAAATACGCCACTGGCAGAAAGTTCAAGATTTACGATCCAACAGATTGCAGCTCCTGGCTTGAGAATAGAAAGAGGGACGCCCCACAGTCAGGGCCCAGCGGCTCCACAAGTATGGCCGATGACTTAACTCAAGC